GGGGGTTGCACTGCCGTGGAACACAGTGTGACGGGCTGGCTGCCAGCTGCGTGGGACACTCTCCACGAGGGAGCCGCTGGGAGACTCACCTGGAATGGGGGCTGTGACCGCTGGCTGGATGGGGTAGGCCTGCTGCACGAAGGGCTTGACGCTGGGGGCGGAGGGGCGGACAGAGTCATAAATCGAGACTATAGCAGTGGTTACTCTACTCCCCAGGTCTTGCCTTGGCCTCCCAGTGCTGGGGCCCAACCTGCCACCCCCACACCCCCCCAATTAAGGTTCCCTGCTTGCAGGTGGTAGCACAGCCCAGGCAGAGCTCTGCCGAGACAGAGACGGTGACTCCCTCTGATTGAGATGGGCCAGCATGGTGCTGGGGACCCAATCATCAAGCCTCACACCGCTTCAGTGGGACAAGCTGGAGAGACCCCAGCACGATTCCCGTACGCTGTGACATCTACTGGACCCTCTCTTCTCGTCCCTGCCACGACCCAGGTCAGGGGTCACCACTCCCAGGCAAGGTTTGGGACGTGCTTCAGGCTCCTTCTCTTGGCCAAACAGCTCAAGTTCTTTTGAGAACAGGTGGGCAGGATATCCTTTCTGTTTTTATCTCCAGACCACCCTCGGCTTCCAGTTTACAAGGCCCGCTTCAAGCAGGATGGTCTCTCAGCTGCCCTTACCACCGGGAAAGCCAGCATGGGCTAGGCTATAGGATCGCCTCCACCGTCCTCTCTCAGGAAGGCACTTCTCAGGAAGACCCCGGGCTCTGGCCTCCAAAGTCATGAAGGGACGGGGCCTCTCTCCCTGTCTCCCGCTGGACACTAATACTTAAGGTGGCCGTGAGCTGGACTTAAGCAGTCTCTTTGCTGCTACTGGCCTCGGTGGATAATGGGAGATGACTCTGGCGATCTCAGGTTAAATCTCCTTTCTCCCGCAAGCCCCGAGGCAGAGTCATCCTAGAGAAACGCCACCCGGGGTCGGGCTGTGACCAGACCCTTGCCGTCACTGCGGGCCCCTCCTTGCACTTACTCTTGTGAGGATCCCGGCTGCCCTGTTTGTATCATTCCTGGCCAGAACTAGAAGGCAAAACGCAAGAGGCGTCAGAATTAGGAATTCACATCGAAGCACTGTTCGGGATGCCTACACACTGCAGCCCCTGCTAAAGACAGTGGGTTCAGACCCTCCATCAGCTGCACGGTGACCCTCTCTCGATGTAGATGTGGTCACCGATGTGCACACGATGGCAGTGGCATCCTTGGCCTGGCAGCCCAGGGCTCCTCCTCCAGATCAGTGCCCTGAGGGCAGGGACCAGGCAGCAGCTTCTCCATGTTCCCCTGACACCTAACAGAGATCTGGGCACATTACAGGTGGGCTCACAGATGTTCTGTCTGACTGCTTTATCCAGGCACACCCCCACCCCCCTTCCCCCTCCCCTTCTCTTCCTCCGTTCTTTTTTTTTTTTTTTTAATTTTTTTTTAACGTTTATTTATTTTTGAGACAGAGAGAGACAGAGCGTGAACGGGAGAGGGTCAGAGAGAGGGAGACACAGAATCCGAAACAGGCTCCAGGCTCTGAGCCATCAGCACAGAGCCTGACGCGGGGCTCGAACTCACGGACCGCGAGATCGTGACCTGAGCCGAAGTCGGACACCTAACCAACTGAGCCACCCAGGCGCCCCTCTTCTTCCATTCTTAAACCCTCCCTGTGGGACGTTCTGTCTCCACAGCTCACAGCACCGAGGGCCCAGCTGGGAGAGGACAAAGCTCTGAGCAAGAGGCCAAAAGCTCCGAGAAGCAATGCGGACACCTCCTTTGCTGTAAGCTTCCCTGAGGCTTCTGGTGCCTGCTGGCCCCCGCTGGAGAGGCGGCTTGTTAAAAGGAGTTGCAAAGGGAGGCATAAGGCTCCGGGTTTGAGTCCTGAGGTCACTATCTATGGGACTGTGATCAAATTTCCCAAACTCTTGTTACTCCGTAACTTCGTCTGCAAAACGGCAACAATAACTAGAACCGCTAAAGATGATTTCAAAGATTGATGGGATTGTAACAAACGTTCAACTTCTCAGCCCTTGGTAGGTGCAAAAGGAAAACGGTAACAGAATACTTTGTCCCTTTAGGGCTTAGTTCCCTTAAAGTGACCCCGAGGACACAGGAAAAGAGACGAAGGGCCAGGAAAAAAAGCAGAAGCAGCAGGTCACAACCCAGAAGGGCACTGGCAAAGTAATGCCTAATCCCACGTCTGCAGAGACCAAGGATGCCTTCCTCTTCCTTTCTCTCCAGGCCCCCTCCCTCCTTCTCTCTCCAGCTCCTTCCCTCCCTTTTACCACTTTGCCCCCAGCATCACCAGCTGGCCACAGGTAGTCCCTCCCTCCCCTACAAGGGAGCCAAGAACAAGCGCCAGGTGGATGGCTTCACGCCCGGCCCCTCACCCCTGGGGGCCACCACTACAGGACCAGCTTGTGACTTACCCCCGGTGCCCCCGGGAAGGCGGGGCGTGGAATCCCAGGCAGCCCCAGCTTGTTGTGAATGGCGGTGGCCGAGACAATCTGTGCTGACGACATGGCGGCCATGTGCTGCAGGGCCTTATCCTTGGCAGTCTGATCCTTGAAGGTGACAGTGACACACAGACTTAATACAGAACACAGGGCTACCAGGCAGCTTCCACAGGCACAGCCACGAGCACATGGACTAAATACAGAGCCACAAGAGAGGCCGGAGAAGCAAACATGCACGGATAAATAAACACAGCCAGAAGGCTAAAACACACTCGACCTACCGTTAACTCTGAACCTTTACTGAGACTACCCAGTGGCAAGGTTTTATAAAAAAAAAAAAAAAAAAAAAAAAAAAAAAAAAAAAAAAAAAAAAAAAAAAAAAATTTTTTTTAAATCTGTTTTTCAACAGAATGGGAAGCCTCTGAGAAGAGTGGACAGCGTATTTATTTTTCCAGCTTCCAAAGGGAGATTTCTCCAATTACTTAACACATTCAAGGCAAGGGTGGGGGAAAAGGCCTTGCTTTTAAGCATACGGATGGGAGAAGGGGGCGTAAAGAGGGCTGGCTGTGGATCTGGGGTAGGACCATCCACAAGGTGCGGGCAGGCCCCATCGGTGTGCACAGTCACGGGGCCGCACTCCCAGGGGCTGCTGGAGTCATGCGAGGCCCAGAAGCCGTAGCAGACACCTGGTGAGGGGAGGTTGGGAGGCAGCAGGGCGGGCAGGGGGCCAGGACGGGGCCAAGCAGCATGCTGGCGGGGTGCATGCTTTCTCAGGTATCCCCACCATGGGGCTAAGGCCACACAGGTTCTCTCTACAGCCGAGAACGCAGGGGCTGCTACCGGGTAAGTGGTTTCTCCCTTCCCTGATGGGTCACTTCTAGAAAAGCCAAGGCTGATAACACAAAAGCTAGCCAAAAAGTCTGCCAAGCACAGCTAAAATACAGAATACTCAATGTGGTGAAAATACTTACCATGCTTGTTACCTGGATACAACAACAAACAATTTGTTAAAAGAATTGCGGACAAAAGCAGGGGTATTTTTCTTCTTCACTTAAAAAAAATACATATATACTTATACAAACACAAAATATTGGGTACAATAAAATGCATAGGAGTGTGGGTCTTTTTTCACATTTTAGGAGGGATGTCTGACCCAGATAGCTAGAAGGGCGATTACCAACCATTCCAACCTTTCAGAAACTACTCCCAACCCCCTTCGAGCTGGTTCTGTGGCTTCCCCAGTACAGATGGAGAAACGGTCAGGCAGGTCCTGACGGTACAGGCTTCATGCTTGGGAAACAAGTCAAGGTTCCTCCCGGCTGCTAACAGAAGGTCTATACAATCTATACCAGGCCCAGACTCCATCAGAGCAGTAACAAAATGGGGACAGCAAAGTAAAGACAGCACCCACCACGGCTGCCGTTCAGAGTCAGCCAGTGAGTGAAGGTCAAGGGGAACTTCAGGCTGAAACAGCCCTGACTTGGCTTCAATGTGTACAGATTTACCCAGAGGTGACACAGAAGCATGCGGAGGTGCCAAAGGCAAAGCCAAAAGGAGAAATTTAAACACGAACAAGCAAAAACCAGAAACAAAAAGCCCCCCAAAGCCTACAAAATAACTACTAGGGGGCTTCTAAGAAAGATCAAATTAGGTGCTCCCGAGGTATAGACAGACATCACTCTGCCCCGTAATTGCCAGAACACCGCGTGAATTTGCAAAAAGCTTATGCTGCCCCTTGACAAAGAGCCTAACACTTGCATAAAATTTGACACTTGTCACATTTCTCTGGCTCTCAACTGAAAAAGTAAGGAGCCGCATGTTGCAGCTTTTTGGCTGGCACACGGTCATTATGGTCATCTCGAAAGGCACGTGCTACAGCTGAATGGCACCACAAAGGGCCCAGGAAGCCTGCAGGATTGCTCGTCCCCAGTGGAATGGCACCGGGGGACTAGAGTGGTGCTTTACTGTCTCTGGTCAGATGACATTCTTTGAGCTGAGCCTCCATTTGCTAATTTGCTGAAGGCTCTACCTAAAGCTAGCTTTCTCTGTCAACATTTTTGCTTCCTTCCTTCTCCTTCTCTCTCTCTTTTTTTTTTTAAGATCTGAATAATTTCAGATACTGTGATGCTTGTAAAAGACAAAATCATGATGATGGTGGAATAAACTGACTAGGTGTATACGTTCCCTAAACCCAGCTGAGCCTGACACACACAAAGATCCCAGCTCCAGTCCATCTGTTCCTACCTAGCTGGTCCCGTGGTTTCACCTGCCACCTGCCCCCTCATCATCCCCGCAGAAGGTAATCCACATGTGTGAACAGAAAACCCGGCTCTAGTCACACTACAGCCCATCTCCGTCAGAAGTGCCCTGACATGAATACAAACACATCAGTTTTCTTCTGGGCCCGTCACTTTGTACTCCAGCCCCGAAGCCACCTAGCCCCTAATGAGAGGTTACGAACGCCTCTCAAGGTGATTTCTGAACTGAAGTAATGCCACAGGTCTCACCACAGGCGCCTTCCACTGAGAGGAACAAGCCTCACAGCTTCTCCGGGGCCCAGGCTAGGGGAGCTGGGACAGCGCAGCCCAGACTTCTCGCAGGCCTGGCTGATGCAAATTCTGAGGAATAACTACAAAAGATCTGTGGGCTTGGCTCTATCCCAAAAGCACCATCCTTGGGGCGCCTGCAGGGCTCGGCTGGCTAAGCGTCCGACTCTTGACTTTGGCTCAGGACATGATCTCAAGGTTCGTGAGTTCGAGCCCCAAATTGGGCTCAGTGCTGACAGCACGGAGCTGGTTTGGGATTCTCTCTCCCTCCCTCTGTCCCTCCCTCAAAAATAAATAAAACCTTTTTCTCTCTCTCAAAATAAATAAAAACTTCAAACAATTTTTTTTTTTTTTTTTTTTTTTTTTTTTTTTTTTTTTTTTTAAAGGAAATCAGTCAAGGAGGAAAGGAGAAAAGTCACCAGCTTTTGTATGTCACACAGCTTCGGAACATGGCCGTTTCCTTTTGCTAAACACAGTAAGGTTGGACTCTTACTGCCCAGCGTTCCAGGACGTGCCTGAATGGGACACACGGCCGGAAGCAGGAGAGCAAATCAGTGGTTCCTAGCTCACCAAGTTGTTCCGTGCCAGTAAAAGGAGCCTCTCCAGGCGAGCTTGAACCTGCCTCGGCCTGACGGTGGTAGTGGGTTGCATTACCTTGGGCAAGTCATTGAATGCTCTAATTTTCTTCATCTATGAAACAGAGTTGTACTTTATTCTCTAAAGCCTTTCTGCCTCCAAAAGTATTTGTGGCGATGAGTGTGAGTTCCATTTATAAGCAAATACGTCTTAACACACACAGCTGGAAACCACCGGCGAAAAGACAGTTAAGATGTTAAAATTTGGGCAGCTCCTGGCCACCTATCCTAACAGAGAGAAAGCCAAGCGTGGAGAGGAAATTTTATCTCAAGTAGAGGTTCTTTCTGCACTTGACCTAGCTATTTGAGAATAGGCAATTTTCTGCAAATGGAATAAAATGTCTATACCTCTGATTTCCTACCTTTTGAAGTGGAGACACTCTACCTACTCATCTAATTTTAGAACATCTCCCCGTTTATCTATGATATATATTTGAAAATTAAAAGGATTAAATTTTATTATTTAAAATCTAAAGCAACCCTGCAGATAGTAAGCACGGCAAGCGAGATCCTGAAATCAGAACCGACAGCCTGGCTGTTGACCCACTTAATCTGAAATGGGAGTACGGAACGATGCCAAGCTGAGAGATTTCAATGGAAGGGCCTCTAAATTGTCATTTGCAGCCTAGAGATACAAGCCTGGCTTGGAAGAAATTATAACTCTAAGTGTCAGACCTGAATAAATTGCTTCTCTGTGTCACTCTGGTCTAATATCCTGGACTTTTGGGGCGTCCCACTCCATCCTTACCACTCACCCCAGAATAAAGGGGGCAGGGCGGTTGTTAATCTACCCAAATAACTGACGCTTAAGTAAGTTCAAAAACATACGTTACACTTGTACATCAGAATACTTTTATTCTAAGATGTTTTCACACCAACATTTCTGAAATGTGGATGAGATTTACAAAGGATGAGCACCCTGTTTTATCCTGAAAAACTGTTACTAAGTCAATACCAAGTTGCGGTCTGTGATGTCTTACAGGACGGGAAATACTCTGAGTGTGTGCGTGTCTATACGTGACCTTGCATGAACAAGAACACCGTGTCCTAGCAAAAAGCCTGGACAACTTCACACCGAGTCCTCAAGACTGATTTTAAGTCCCTCCATCCCTAAGATTACGAAGAATGAGGCCACAAAAAAGCTGAATATTTGGGGAATGGAGAAAGAAAAGGCAAATCTCCTTTTCCAACTGAATCCTAACTCAAGCCCATGGCCTGAAATGTGCAAAATATTTATGGAGCAGGAAACACAGGGGCTTTAAGAACAAATGGCCCGTCTGTCCGAAGAATGAGGTCAGACACAGGACTGTGCCGAGGGATGCAGGTCTCAGAACCCACTCGACTTTCTTCCTTGTCCAATTTCTGGCACGCCATGCTGTCAATGGCCTTCCCTGCCTCAGCCACACGGGGTCCAGCAGGCTGTGTCACGCATAAACTCCTCAGCCTGAAGCCTTCCAAACTGTTGTTGCCACTTAGTAAACAGGCTTTCATATTTCATGAAGCAGAGCAAGGCTGCTGCTATACCTCTGGGTTCCACAGACTGCCTCCTCGTTATGGTTTAAATGTGCACAATGTTTGGAAAGTGTCTACAGTGTAATATACATGACAGGAAGGCGGCCAGTGTCACAAATGCACATGGCTGAAGCAGTGCACTCTTCAGACTCCAGGACATGTGATGAATCAGTCTCCAGACAGTATGGGAGTCTTATTCCCACTTTCCTCTGCTTCGTTGGCTTTTGATTACTCTGAGGAATCAATTATCTTATCGTTTTCCAGCACTAGCCATCAACAACGTTAAAGATAATATAAAGTTCACAAGCTTGCAAGTATAATATTATAGCTGTTATATATGGCATTTTAATGAACAGCATACTAAATCAATATACTCCAGTTTGTTCAGGGGCCGTCAATTTAAAACTTAAAGACTCCAATCTACTTTATTCGTAAGGAAGTCCACGGATACACCAGGAAAAATAGGCAACGTTGGAAAAAAAGACCACGGACTCAAATTCTCTGGATAGCTCTTACATGTTTTTCCCCAAGTGCACTTTTCCCAGCAATACAAAAATACAGTACAGGAGAGGAAAGATAGCAATTTGCTTGCAAAACCACTTTTTTCAGGAAAAGACAAAACACAGGATGCGCTCCTAAAAAGTCATTTTGCAGATGTTGCTTTCACCTTGCGCTATGCGGATTCACATGACCTCTGTGATTATTAGCGCTAGCCGCTGAGTACATAAAACATCGCAAATCTGTAGGATGGTTTGGGAGAAAAGATAGAGGGCACTTGAATTTTTCTAGCCATGATCCCTAATTTACTTATTATTAGAGAAAGCAGGAGTAAATACAAAAGGGGGCTATTTCGGTCGGGCAACAGCTAATGCCAGGGGGGGAAGGCACATTCATACTTCTCCCGACTTGCCATGTAATGAGTAGCAATTAATTCATCTTATTGTATTTCCAAATGCCAGAGACTCCATTCACATCAAAGAAAAAATTTTCAAGGCTTGTACTATTGTTCATTTTTAAATGTACTAAGCTATATTTAGTATTTTATAATTGTCAATAGTGTTTCCTTTAATTTTGATGTGGGGCTTAGCATCATAAAAGATTGTAGATGAGGATCCAGGTGATTTATAGGTGTGCCTGACAACACTACCAGGAAACCTATCACTGAGGTCAGCTAAAGCTAGGTTTGGGTGCTGGGGAAAAGGCACCCTTCTGACCATAGCCCCCTTTCCCCTGGGAGGTGACAGTAAGAGGCAGGAAGTAAATCTCTCTCGAGGAGCCAGAGGAACCCAC